GGTATGTGTTCAACCACTCGGGTAAGCAGCTGCCTCTCTGTTTTACCCACGTAGGTAGCTCCGTACCCATATTGAAAGCCCGTACTGTGTCAGCAGAAGAAGGTCTACATCAGTCTAGCGTTACCCTGGTGACCACGTAAGCAGAAGAATGAACTGAAACCATGTTAGATTGTCAAGACCTGTGATATACAAACTATTTCTTTCTGCAGTCAGCACTAGTTGAGATACAGCGAAATGCTTCAATAATAGTTTACTAGTTCAGACGCGTTTGCACTCCATGTTGGTCATACGGCACGGTAGTTATCTATCTACATGAAAGAACACCACCGGTCTGGCAGAGTCAAGATGGTTCTGTATCTATCACAAGTTTGATTCTCGCTCACTTGGTAGACAGTGTCCACCGTGTTAACCTAAGTGAAGTATATCGTATTATTGATCAAGTTCCCCCAATCGGTCTAGATATGTTAGAATACGTAGGTTGGCCATAGCCGAAGCCCTCTGTATTAGACATTTGACCCATGAACTATGTGCTCAAAAGCGTCTTATACAAACTCTCCATCTCCCCTGGGTTTGTGATCCACCCCGATCCCTGTCCACACACATAAATTTTCACGCAACAACACCGATCCCTCAAAACTGTGTCACACGACCAACGTGACATAACTGAAAACCCCAGACGCACAGATCTGAGAATACGGTGTGCAATGCACACACGAATACACAAAGTGAACGATTTTTCACATTTTATTTTTCTCCTCCCAACCACTAGGTTTTTCCCCACATATGAACTGTAACGCCATGATTACGAGTTACTGAAAAAGTTTTCACCTGAATTTGTGTTCTAAATGCGAGTATGGGCATATTTCGAAGTTTAAGACACAAAAGCAGATTGAACTAAGAAAAAATGAATAGTCCGAAGTTAGGTAGATACAACTGAGTAGCTAACTGGTAGCTGCATTGTTGCGCGATCACCTTAGCTTTCCACTCCCATAAACCTTTCATGGATTTGGCTGGCTTTACAACGCACTGTTACACTGCATGAGGTTTCTCATTCTGGCAGTGGTCGGCAATCTCTTTATTCGATATCCACAATATGACTTTACTCAACAACCACAGCCTCAGTTTCATGCACTACGGAACCTTTATGGTTCTTCACTTCTTTATGTGGATCAGGCGCATCTACATTTCGTTCTTCTTCGAAATGGGATTGCCTTGTAGTTAATTTATTGTTTCTACCATGAAATAGCTGATGTTCAGCATTGACCTATTCAAGTTTGCAGCGATAATTCCCTGAACCGGACGAAAAGCATTGCATCGGAAGTACGTCCCGCCATCAAATGATCAAATACCCTTGAGAAGACCTCAACATGTTGAGTGGGGCAGCTTTTCAGTTTCTCCCTTAGTTATTGCATCTGTCACATTTCGGTATTGCAGAGGAAAATTCTGCGGAACGCTATTAGGTCTACTGGTGGGTTGCAAATCGCAGTGCACTGTTGACTGTTCTAACTAGATTCTCAGCTGCACCACTGGAACAAGGATACCTCAGCGCCTTTCGTGGATGTCGAAACTAAATGCTTCCAATCGTCAGTAGCACTGACTCCGTTACACCAGAGAGAGAACCTTGATCTGCCACAAGCACCGGCCATATGCTTTCTCGACTGGCTAACAAAAGGTTTTGTTCGCCTCTTTGTCAGAAATTCAGACTTGAATTTTTGAAGGCACGCCATAAAATTCTTAGTTGTTTTGCAAACCGGTGCACCCGAATTCGGCACATCAGCCATCCCAGAAATTTAATCGTCTCTAACCTCAAGACACTACAGGGGCCTCTTTTTGGGTTTGTGAATAGTCTTTTACTGTGGAGTTGATCAACCTGTAAATACAGAGCACTGGATGACTAATATGGCACTAGTATCTTCCGTACCAGCTCATGAAGGATCGTTTCACAGTCCAAGATCCTTTTTCATCCTGCAGCTGATGGTACCACAAAACGGGGCTATGATGTGGTATTGCGATCAAGGGGAATGTTTAAATAGTATTGAAGCTATCGGATAATCGACCGTAGGTAATAGTGATCTTTCGGCAATGCTATATACATCAGAGGTTTGAATAATTTGGGAGTCGATCGATATCCTATTGATCAAGCAGTGAATACCAGAAGGATCAGTTCTTTCGTTAGGAATATACATTCAAAAGGGTATGATAATCACGTTTTTCTCCAAGCCTCGCGTCAGAGATTTCGTTGAGTTATCGCCATTAGCTTCTTCCGTTGTTCGAAATGCAATCACAACACGATGGTACAGCATGATGCTGCATAGCCTGAATATCACGGTTTTGGTTGTCGATCGAAAGATAATGGATCATAAATGCAGGAAAAACGGATAAAACTACTGGAGTAGTTCTCATTGTGTTTTGATTGCTATACACGTCTTTGGTTTTGGATGTACCGGGACCTGAAGATGTGTGTTTATCAGAATGATTTCCGAGAAAAAACAGCAACCCAGTAAAGGTTTTATATAGCTCCATTGTCTAAGTCGTGCCTTCTCCAATGGAGAATTAAGCGGTAATCTGTGAGAATTTCATTTCGTCGGGGTTCTGACATCTTTTTTCATAGCTACAATGATCAGGGTTAACCATGTTGATGAATTCACACGAGAAATTAGGTAATTCAACCCCACTCATTCTGTCGCCTTCAACGCTCTCTTACCTGGTCTACATCGAATAACGCGTCTTCTCATAATCCCTGGATCATTATGACATTTTAATGCTGTTCCAGGTACATCAGCTCTGCAGTGTACCGTACAAGCGGTTTTCATACTTATTCAGTAGTGTCGGACACCGGTTCACTCACATGTAATGACAGAGAATACCCGAGAATTTCCATTTGAGTCGGTCCCTCAATAGACGAGCTGTTGTGTGATGAGATGAATACTCATTTGAGTGTTGACAAGGTAATGAATCGGTACATTTCTTTCGCCCATAGGCGAGAGTGGGTTGACAGTTCCTTCGCGAATAATTGTTTTAATTGGTTTCGGGATAGCATTTAGGCAAGGCTGCTTGATCTGGTGCAATCAATGTCGCCGATAATAAAACTGTTTCCGGTTCCAGACGTCTTAGATAGAAATCAGGTATTACGAATCTTAGCATTAGATCAGTCCTAACCGAAAGACGTGATGAGAACCGAAATTCAATGGAATTTTTGAACCGAACAGTTTTTTGAAGTTCTGACTGCATCCTTAATTAAACTCGTATCTCATTATTCTATCTACTTAAAGTGATTAAAATGCCCTCAATACGGATGTGTTCCTATTCCCTCAATAAAATCGCTCACCTGGCAGATTGTGAGTTCGTCCTCTGATTCAATGATCAGCAAGATGATTTCACGCTCTTTTCCTGCAATAATACGTCGACACTGGAACCAGAATTTCAACAGATACTTCTTAGCATACACATCACATAAATGTCATAAAAAATAAGTACTGAACTTAAGCTTGTGATTTTAATTATGCCAGATGGAGTTATTTGGAATTAGGTAAAGTATGATAACTCCGAAGCTAATTTCTAGAACGCTTTCGTTGTTAGGGTGGTGTAGTCAAATTTCCAATAATATGATGTAGGAGTTTCTAAAACTTGTACTAATAAACTTGGATGATAAAAACAAAAGTCGTCTATTTACTGACCCCAAAACCCCAAAACACATCTGTCAAAGGTAATGTGACCACAATTTTGGGCGATCCATGCAGATAAGCAGTTTGTGAGTTGGTGTTCGAATGCGTGTCCAGAATAGTTCTGTGTAGTTTGATTGATCTTGTTTAAATAATAGTTCGGTCTTACTGCTTATTCGATATGCCCATGGGTTCAAGTAGGTTATGTTAGAAAACATGGAAATATTAGATTGAAGAATAAAGTGAAATAGAAAAATGTTCTGTCTGTGAATAATTGATGTAGAATGATAAGTGGCCAAAAGGCGGTAAACCTCATCATGATTCGAGGTAAAACAGCTGAGCAATCCAAAGAGTGAAAACGGTTGGAAACAATAGCTCTCAACCACTGTGGATAAAAATCAAAACCCCCCTGGGACAATTTGGATGTTTGCAGTCTCTGACCAACATATGAGCATATGAACATTGCGCTCATTTTTTCCTGATGTTCTAAATGCTACTCTGATAACAAAATTTCTTTTTTTTTTCTTTTTCATTCTTACTTCCTTTTATTGAATGCATGATGATGCAAGTTATAGGAAGGGGGAGATGGTCAATCAAAGGGCCACCATACAACGCACAATGAGGTCAGAGAGTGGTAATGGGATTCAAACACATGTCCTCTAGAGTGACAATTTGGTAATCTTACCCCCGGGGAATTCCAGCATTAGAGGTGGTGCAACTGAAGAAATTTGCTGATACACTCACATTTGACATGGAGTTCCCAGTTGTAGGACAAATCCTTGCAAGGGACCATGCGATCGGTCCAAAGCTGAGATCCTTGGCATTTTCATCCTTGATGGTGCGAATAATTCGCAAGCACAAAGGACAAACTGGAACTGAACGAAGTACATCGTACCATATGAATCTCCAAATCGGTCATTAAGTATAGAATTGAAATGCTGACTCACACGATGTCGCTTTGGAGAAAAAGATGTTCAAATACATAACAGTTTCGGGTGGAATTTTTGCATTCATGGTATTCAACTAATGATATACTCAGAAACGTGAATAAATTATGGGTCTGGAAATGAAATGACCAAAGTATCAGTGAAGAGTGTAGGAGCATGCCGAGGATTAATTTCACACTATCGTCAAACATTCAGCGAATAAACAAAATACAATCATCCAAACAATAAATCGCTCAAGTAACCTCGGTAAATTTGAATGAGAACATCTTCATGGCTGTTTTACATCAGGCAGTACTTCATAACTAGAATCCTACTACTCACGAGTAGTGAAATATGAAAATAAAAACAGTATATTATTTCTCTGCTAGTCCACTATTTACTCACGCCGTCATTACTCACTGGGATCTGGCATGATCATCTCGCCTGTATCAAGTGGTGTACGATCCGACGGACCACAGAGCCGAAGGAGCTGAAAAGTGAGAACGAAGAGTTAGAGTTGGGATATTTCGTTTGCGAAACTTTTGACTCAATTGGTAAACTTTCGTGACCACTCGGCTTGTACTGATCGCAAGCTAATGGTTCGTTCTCTGTGCGGTAGTCGCATGTTGTTTTGATTAGGATATTTCGAAAGAATATCAAACGCAAAACCCTCAACCTCCACAGCTCTAGATAAAACAAGATTCCCTGGTCGTTCCGTGGTTATGTAGCAGGAAAATACAATAGTAAACACACAATCAACCGGAGAAATGCAGTGTTGATATCACTTTAAAATACAGGTGCTCATGGAGCAAATATAAAACTATCTAGCAAATATGTGGCCTTGGTAATTACTGAATTCCTCGTAATGTTATCAGTGGCTAATCGCAAAACTCACCTCACACACATTCTGTGGATCGACATTATCGGTTAGCAACCGAACGATTTTCGGAACATATTCCACGACTAAAAATTTGCACTAAAATATAAACGGGCAACAATAATCATCGAAGTTAGGTCGTTCTTCATTATTTGACCAAGAACATGTCAACTGAATGCGGAGGTGATTGCGTTAAGAGAACATACAAAGTCCGTCAAAAGGAAGAGAAACTCAGGGACAGAGAGACAAACGACAACTAAATCTTTGTAAACTCTAACTTGAACAGTGCTCACAATTACAAAGCTGAACGGAGTGTATGTAGAAACCCCATTAACATACATCTAACACTGAAGAACATCTGGCGGAAGGAATCTTAAGCCGCATTTGGTAGACCCATCTCAGCGATTTCAGTCCCAAGCCATTACAATCTCTTTTTTCGGGTTCACTAACAGTCGGATCAGTCTAATCACTTTACGGCGCGTGGGGACGCAGAAAGAAAAACAATTACAGACGTGACGCAGGCACACGATAATCATGACTATGTTATCATCGCTGACCATGCTATGATAGTCGTAGGTGAATCGCCCAAGTGGGCGATTGTGTCCGAAGTCGTAGTGACTTGTGGGTGTCGGGTAGGACTGAGTGAATGATGAAGAAAGTTAATTAAGGATCGATTGAATGACCAGCGACAATGAAATCATAGTGCACTGTGAGTGAACTCGTTTGACCTTGAAGAGCATTAGTGAGTCAGTGTGAATGGAATTGGAATGGAGTGAGAATTCATCACCGAAGATATATGCCTTCCTACGCCTTGCAGTTCGATTTGAACAATGGGTTCAACTCGCAATGTAAAAACCAGGTCGTTCGATTGAATTTTAGGAATTTGTATTTTAGGAATTTGGAGCACATTTCTAGGCGACCAGGTAAATCTGTAAGTAATTTGTTTTAGCGGAACGACGTTTTCATACCTTTCACCATCAGTGAATGGTGCAGCACCATATTTGTTCGATATACCCTAGTGAAAGGTCCAACTATTAGAACTGAACCGAGAGTGAGCTAGAAAGCTATAATTTCTGAGAGTTGCTCCCTTCAAGAAGTAAATCATAATGCTTCGATTCCGAAATAATTTCATTCCTAAACATTAAATGGTGTTTATTTGCCATTACCTATGATGCTATTGATTAATTGATTTATTTAACAATAAGCGAATACGGAAAACAAATCATGAGAAGTGACACAATAGTTATTGGGAGAAAATGGTGGTAGGCAGCTTACTTATCATCGAACTCAGTATCATGTCTATCTCGGTGGGGTCTCATTTTACTCTAAGTCCCGGAGGCTTAGTTTGCGGTAATTGATTGGAAACATGGAGTGTACCATTTCTTTTGTTCGTCAGTCAATGACATGCAGTTAGCTGGCTGAACAAAGTATTCCTTACCTCTGAGGAATGAGCTGGAAACAAATCACAAATTCGGTCCAGTTGTTGCTCAATTTCATGCGTCGTGTTTTTCTGTTCCAAAAACAATTTCATCGCGTACACGATTGGTTTGCACACCAAACACACTTGAGAAAAGGGTGAGAAATTAATTCTGTGAGTATCTCATTCGCACTCAGTCGCTGACATACAATAATTATCCCAAGCCTTAAAACAATCACTGTAATGCCATGTAATCTGACGGAACATATGGATAGTATTGAAGAAAAACGGTGATATTTGAAAGTTTTCCTCATGAATATCACCGGGGTACGGCTGTCATCCGAAATGGAGCAGATTACATATTCACCAACAGGTCCCAGTGCATTAGAGCATTACTTCCACCTAAGTGCCTGGTCTCAGGGCCAGAAAACTTTCGGAACAAGGGATACGGATAGATGGATTTCACCATAGTGACTCATTTCTTATCTCTCAAGTTAAAGGTAAAAAAGTCCGTAACCATCAGATGATCATCCTGGTCGGGTGATCAATTGCTTTCCACTGATGAGTTGTTCCACACTGGACAAACAAAATCGCGGATGATTTAGAACGTATCAAAACCGACTATGTATAAACCTCTTGATGACCCCAGAAAAGTGATCAACAGTTCGGTTCATTTGAAGCCTAGCTAAAATCATCTAAGGGAAAATAATCCCTCATTACTGTAAACCCGAATACAAATGAGGCAAAATAATGACAAATCGATCGACTAAATTATAAAAGGCGCATTGGATACATGAAGCGAATGTTTGAAAAGACAAAAATTCGACTGACATTATTGCAACTGCTGTTCATTAAAATCGGTAAACTTTGTCGGTTATCATCACCATTATCATCAGGTTTATTTTCATATGTATTCATGACGATTCATCAGTCACAAAAGCTCCTTACAAGGAAATTATCGTACACCTGTGTTCCCAACTCCTGGTAGGTCAGATTATAACAAAACCGACACTCCTCTTAGTTTTATGCAAGTATTCAGAAGCAGTTTACACGTTTTTGTGAGAGAACCACGGCTTTGATTCTTAAAATAGACTTACTTGCTGGATTCAAAGATTCTGTTGGTTGCACATAAACTTCGTTGGCATTTTTCAGGCAAAATGCTAGTCTCTGTAGATCGGAAGCAAATAAGATGTTAGATTTAAAGAAAGCGCGCAGGTTTAAAAACAAATGACAAGAAATTGATTATAAACAACATTGAAGTTTTAAAAAAAAGCGGATGAACCCAAACCATCGGTTCTTTCGATTAAGGTTTCCCACATAAGCATAAGATTTATAAAAAGATTCGATTAGCTATTAGACACCGTATTGCAGCACTGCTACAGATGGACCTGTGCTCCAGGGTGTGATAACATTCGACGCTTGTGGAGAAAATACACAGTCAGAAATGATCTGCGTATGGGATTTTAATTGGGATTTCAAAAATACGTTTCGCGTATCGTATAATTACACAAATCCAAATCGGCGATGTCTATCCGAGGGAATCAAACGGTACAAATTAGTACCTCGTTCTGATTCTCTATCTTTCATCTAAGGAATTTCAAGGAATACACGGAACAACACGAAATTCAGTTTGAAATAGGTTCACTGATCTAAATTATTTTTCGAGTATTCAGTAAACTTGTGTCGAAGCACAAAGTGCGTGAATTTTGATCAAATGCTTGTTTTCGTATACATATGTATATACAACAACATTCTACACTAATATTACTTTCTAGGAAACTCTAAATATTATTTGTGTGTAAAGCTCTTTTCAATTTTCCTTTAATCACATTGAAGTGCTCAATGGAGTAAAAAAACAGTGATCATCATGTTCAGTTACCACTATCAATCCCCTTTCCCTCGTCAGCGAAGTAAAGCATAGGCAAAAAGAAATACTGCGTCAGTTTCTGATCGTTCAGTTAACATTTATAAAAAGTGTTTCTGCGAATTTTAGGATTCATTTGAACGCGATAACGATAATGTTTAAAGACACATGCGACTTTACACATGTTACTTGACACAGTCCTGGTCTATGATTTGCCCTTTTTCGAACTCCCTTTCGTTTACGAGTAAAATATATTGCGCTAGTCTCCGTCAATATAAATTCATAAAATGGAACCACCGTGATACAGTTACCTTATCGAGCACTAAGCTCGTTATATACTGTGAAATCAATCCTGTTTCTTTCAGCCGGGTTTATATCCTGGTTCATTATAGTGTATGCATAGACATCAAGGAGACAATCGATACGGAATGAAGTCATGGGTAGATCTGAGATGTATCAGTATCTAGAATTCACTCAGAGTGAGTACGAAACGTTTCCTGCCAAAGGGCACGGTCGGTTGAAAAATGCATCGAAAACTTGGTGTTTCTCGAATCCTTTTTTCAGGATTGACCATTTGTGTTATGTTGCAATTTTATGTGAAGTTCAAGACGGTGAGTGATATTTTTAAATCGCCTCCTACCGTCAGACTTAGGATCATTATTCTTCTGCGGTATTCATCCCTGAGTGGCTTACCACTCTATTGTGAATTTGTGTACATTTATCCATTTGAGTCAATTACCCAAATTTCTTCTACTGAAACACTCGCTGAAGATAATGCTTTCATTCAGGGAATTATTGAAAAAAGTGATTCCGTACTGAACACAGCTATTCAGTCTAACTGAACCCTTGCAAAATTATTCAGATCTGTGAACGTGTATTTTTAAACACTGAAGTGATAATTAGTTAATTTTTGGTAAAAAGTGAAAACTTCTACTGTCTGATTCCTTAATTCAGTAGAGAATTTCAGTTTGATTCATAATAAGCTATCCGAGCACGTGACCGAGTCCGAATATTCAGACGTGATGTGACTTTATGTACCAAGGGTATGCGGAAAAGGTGTTGATTCTGCTCTAGACCTTGGCCGCTTAGCCACCAAATGATGGGAAAACCTGTAAAACTGCCAATGAGGTTGGTGCTGACCTTCCACGAGTTGGTTACACTGCATTTAAATTCCAGCAGTACGCATGCGAGAATTGTCGCGCCTATTACATTTTGCAATTGCTCTCAAACCCAACAGTAACTTCTGCCAATTCATTAGACCGTTCGACAACGGATCCAGGCTTTTCAATGCAGGTGATAATCTGTTGGGCTGCTTCAATATCAATTATCAGACTGGCATTCAAGAAATCAGATATGAACGATAACAGGTACGACAGAAGTACCATTATCACGGATTTTTCTTGACTTAAATTCAAACAAATTTACTTTAATAATTACGAGCAATATGGAATGTTGAATTCAAGTAATGATAGTAATTGTTATGGTTGTGTTCCCCAATTGAAAGCGTTTATCGTATCGCCTCTTTTTCCCTATCGCTATTAGTTGACAATTTTACCATTTAAACATTCAGTTTCACGAGTGTGCAACGTTGACTATGAGCGCTGTGGATCTTAGACTTCAAAACAATTCGTCGTGATTTGACGACAGTCAGTCGTGCATCAATAATCTCAATCGTATGATTAATCAAGGAACTCATTAATGATCACATCAACTCCTGCGTTAAACTTGCCAATAAGATTCTAGACGCCCCTCTTCATCAATTGCATCTCGATTTACCATCTCGTCGTTCCCATCCGTCCACACGCTCCCCTTTTCGGCATCTATCCTATCGTATTACCATTTAGAAAAAATCCACTGTACCCTACCTGACCCGACTCCCAACCAAAGGAACAGGTCGCAAGTGGACTACTTCAAAAGTTTTGTACATGTAAAAACATCAGCGACATTCTTTACGTTGCCTGTCATAGGTAACTGCATATTTCATTCCGTGTGACGCACCATGTACGTTTTTAACTGAAATGTAAGCAAATAAGCTAACACAAGTTATACAAATACAAATCCTAATCTTATGATATTACTTAGATCACTATTTTGGACCTTTGTTTTCGCGCAGTTTGTGACCGTTTTGGTGATACTACCAACAAAAAGCACACAACTCAGGTCAGAAAGTGCATACATGGTCCTTTTTAGCTTAAATTCATGAAGATGGCCGCGCTTGAGAGAAACCCCGTACATGAAAACATGTAAGATGGCTATGTTGTTGAGTATGGGTTGTAAATAACCCATTATGGTTCATAATTGCAGAATTCTGTCATCTGTCTAATGGTATCCGGGTACGTTTTCTAGTAAAAACATGTACATCAGTGTCGGTTGAAACGCATTCAGTTCGCATGCATTTTCCGCCAAACATAGCGTCCATGAGAACTGAGTTCAGAGCTGAGACCATCATTGCTCTAGAAACGGCAGTTCAGTCGCCGCGCTAGTGTTGACGTCCAACGTACGTTGATTCCGGTTGAGATTTGAAAGCCTTCAGCAAATCAGTTTGGGAGAATGAATAACTGGTCAGATAGGAAGAAATTCGAGTTTACTTTTCCGTTTATGGTGTTATTACCAAAACAATTTATACGGGATAAAGTTGCACTGCTGGGCTTTAAATCCCCTTTCGAGTGCTAACAAACTGGAATGAAGACATTTGGAAAAGGACACTATCTAAACAACTCAACTAAAACTTCTAAAGCGACAGTAAAATAAGAGTTTCACATCTCTAAGTGCACAACTATTCTGTCATTAAACCGAAAATTTTGACCAGAAAACTTTTTCAAATGCAAGATTGTCGAGAGTGTTGGAGGGGGGAGGAATGCTTCTTCTCTTTTCCAATCACATTAAGTTTAGATTTTTTGTCGCCTTGTTTTTACGCCACGCTTATTTGGCTCAAAAAGATGATTGTGCATAAATTTCTTATGGATTTCATTAGTCCAGTTGAAGCACAACACAACCAAAAGGAATATGAAAGGGAAGGATCTCGCCCAACGTTCCGGGCGGTTATAACCAGTTACTGATCGAGGCTGAAAACACCAGGAAAAAGTGATGAATTTTATTGATGTTTATCCATTCATGCAGACCGCTTCCATTCTTTCTACAGGCCGATCGGATCTAATTGTATCCTGCTATTGATATCATGTACTCCATGCCCCAAGTTGTCAACAATCCCGATGACCATCTGCTTCTTTGTTCCTACCAGCCCCTGTGAACCGGGAACTGAATTAGGAGATGCTCTGCGGTGTTACCTGAGACCTGTAATCACAATCTTAGGAAAGAATCGGTAGTTTTACTTGGAATAATCTGTTATCACTCAACTGGAAAAAGTCAAATGTGAGCCTAGAATGCAAAACAGTAAAAAGAGTGTAGAATTACCTCACAAGTGAGCCGTGAATCGAAGTGATCGGTCAAATAGTGATATAACATTGGCACATCTGTCTCCACAATTTGATCACACTGAAACGATAAACGGATAGATGCATTGCATTTCACAATCATCACTCCATATTGCGTCCGTCAGATTACTGTTGTAAATAGAAATTTTGTCTAACACACTGCAGTCTAACAGAAGGTAAAACAAACTAATGTTCTAGTTATACAATAAATTAATATAATAATATGATAACGTCTTGCAATTAACGAATTGAGGTAGAGAGAAAGTGTTCCATTAGAGTATAGATGACCGACTGGTTTTGTGCAGTTGCACTGGACAACCGGATGGACTGCAAAAATTGCTCATTCAGACGATTTATTAGGCAGATAACGCGAGCTGAACGTTGGGAAGGAAATATGATTCTTAAAGTGCTATCAAAGTTCCCCATCTGCCTCTGGAAACCGCTTCACTTAGCTTCCTCTTCCTCAGTGCGGGCCTAATCCCACGATAGAATACATATACATACATATATAAACATTTGGGAACACTTTGGTAACATGCTAATTCTACAGTTTTTCATTAGAATAGATATTCAAACTTCCCACAGTGCCAAATCGTGGATGTTCTTTTCCAGAAGTTTCCGAAAACAGGCTGTTGCGAGACAAGAGAATGCGATCGACCGCTGAGAGATTTAAACACGTGGCCTACAAACAGATGAGCTTTTAACCTATAGCAGCTGAACTTGGCTGAAGAAACTATTGGTTGCGTTTTCAGTTTCCTATACTAATCTCATTGTTAACATGTTTTTATTCTCAAATAGGAATATTACTTTGGTCAAGTCACGTGAACGGACCACGGAATAGGCCTTGTATTGAACTTCTGATGCTCCATTCCCCCGGGTCCTATAGTCATCCCCTGTCAATCCTCGTTACAGTGTTTATTTCTGCATCTGAAGCCACAAGGAATCCGGACATGATGTACACAAAAGGTGATGAATGACGCAGCACAAAGGTCTTTCAACTGCCAATCACAAATATACTATACCATCTACTGAAAAATTTACTTTGTCTGTGGAGACAGGTTGAACTCACCAAATCATTCCATTGACTGACTGTTAAACAAACTGCTTGACTGACCGATTTGAATTTGTCCAATGTGCTGTTTCGGTTCAGCTTCAGTTTGATGCGGTCCATAACGTAACTACAGAATGGACATACTAAAACAGCAGTGGTGAGAGGGGAAACAGGAATGCACTCATACTCTCATTTGGAAAACTGTAACAATAACACTAAAGGTATGATCATAACTGACACAGTCGTGTTTCAGGCAATATGTTGTTGCGTTTTCTGTATCGTTTTACATTTTCAGCCGAAAATGAGTACAATTATAAGTATAAGTAGGAAAAGACACTATATGTTCGCCATACAAAATTATACAAAATTAAACCACGACACAACGAACCTACAATAAGTGAACCGGAAATACAGCAAATGACCACTGTATACGTCCTTTTGAGTAAACATTCAGTGGAAGTTTAGCCCATCAACTTTAAGAGTGTTCTCTGAAGAAAGAGGACTACACGGTAAAAATGTCGTAAATCTTATTACTTAAAAAAAGAACAGTTTGAGGAAACCAGTTCTATTGAAACCAGTTGGTTTACTCAAACGTTTGGACAAACATTTTAGTTTGAGTTCTTTATACCTTTGCAAAAACCACGTGGTTGAATAATTTATATGTCGATTTGGCTGATATTTTCTGATATTTCTACTATAGTGAGAAAACGCCGATTTTTTAACATTTGAGCCAATGTGTCCAAAATTCAGGTAACCAACGATACAGGTAACAACATATCTTAACATTGTTCGAGATTAAACGCTCCACCGCTGTCCATTTTCCCCATTTCTTTATTATTTTATGGCGGTGGCCCTCTTCCTGAAAGTTGGTTTTTCATTTCTTTATTCAATGAATATAAAATAAAGTAAAAATATTTTTATTTTTTTATAATTGGTTCACGAAACAGGCCCTAAACGATTATCGTGAAATGCACCTCAGTTCGTATCTGGTTATGCCAACTATAATTTTGCGGACGACATCCCACTGCTATAGAACATACAGTCGACACTGGATACAGTAATCATTACCAATTGATTTGTCTCTACTTTTCCACTACTTGTGAGTGTTGATTAACTGTTCAAATCTTTTTTCATCAGACCTGTTATTCAGAAAACAGGTGACGTAACAGTTCGTACTTGCCATTTTGCTTTTGTACGAAACGGAATGAGTGAGCAAACAAACACTATCACACACCTGGTAGCTATTTGGTGAAGTTTAGAGTGAAACTCGGAAAATAACTTTGCATGAATCTACACAAAAAAAGCGAGGAAGTTAGACAGATTCAGTTCCGCTTCAGTTTCAATGCAGATATCATGAGAAATCGCTCCGTTACATATGGGTAACCGACAAGGACCAATTTCCCAATCTCTCGAAACATGATAGAGGAATAAAATACCATAGATAGTAATTTTCTCAGCCCCAGTTATCACTTGATGGAGTTAACGAGTCCCTTACAGAAAGAAGTTGTCAAAAGGAAAGAACACGGTACCTCACAGTTGGGCTATATCGTCATAACAGCATTTTTGCAACGAACGGCATTGGTTAACCTTTCTCATAGTGGTGAATGGATACGTACGATCTTATCAAGGGATTCCCTTCTGATCATGATCAAACGCCTATAGAAATTTGCAATAACCTACCTCCTCCCCGCCACGCACTCTAACTCGTTTCAAGCTTGATCGCATAACTGCGTACTACACGCCGAGTGCACGAGCAACAGAACTCTCAAAGTATTCATGTGACTTGCTTGTTTAAAGCGCGCGAATAAAAACGATCAAAGTAATAATCACTTTTCATCATAGTCCTCGTTTCCCTTACCCCAGGAATAGATTGTAGAAAAACGCAAAATATTGACCGATAATCTGTTTGCCTAACTCACGTGGCACTTCGATCTCCCCACCACTTGATTCGCAGAATCGCAGGAACTGGAATACAAAGAAGAGAAGGATTAAGTCCAAGAGTACTGGCTAATCAGCTAATCAGGATAGCGAAAGTAGTTAAGATTTTGAAACTATTAAATTTGAGAAGAGTTCTAATTGCTATATTTATATATATAGTTAATACCGGCTTTTG